TACAGCTACCGTCCTTTCCTCTCTATTCCATGCCTCAAACATCTCCCTGTACGTTCCATCTATTTTTCCCAGCGCAGACATGTACACTTCCCTCTCCTTCTTGTATCACGGACATTCCGCGACTACATGAACACGGTCTTCGCATTCGAAGCCGCAATCACATTTGAACTCGTCGTCTTCCTCGTCTACCGTCCTATGTCTTCGTCGACGTTCTCCAACGCCTATGTCCCCGGTCCTGAATTTGACGTTAAGCTTTGTTCCTGCATCCATTGGTCCATGTAGGTAGTCCTTGAACCCTTTTCCTTTCTTCAACATTCCGTACACTTCTAGACCCTCCTTATCCTTGGATTCTTTCCTCAGATTCTGTTCTTCTCTCTCGGCACAAGCAACAGATATCTTCTCCTTGAACCCCTGTAGACCCTCCGTTTCCAGCGTTTCATCTTCGTCGATGTCGAGCCCCTTCCATACGTCCTCTACAACCTTGACCCATTCCGTGGGTTGTCTACCCCTCTTTTTGTTTGCCCACTTCGCCTCCCATACAATTCTCGGTAGCCTCTCCTCTCCCATCCCGCACATGCGATACTGCCATGTCAGCTTCCTCGCGTCTCTTCCCGACCGTAGGGATTGGATCCCCAATTCTGCCCTCACGGCTGCATTACTTGTGCGCCTGGAGCATCCTAGAATGATTTTCGCTGCGTTCATCTGCGCCGCCTCGAGTTCTTTCACTACCTTCTTATTTCCTTCCCATACATCTCCGGCGTACTCTAGCGGCGGTACGATTACGCTCTTCAAAACCGTCAATTTAATGCGTGTATCGAAGCGCCGGTTTGCGAGTATTGGGTGCAGCTTCCCTGCTTGTGCTTTGCCCTTTTCCGCTACCTTGGACATGTGTGCATTCCACGAGCAGTCTTTTGCGATCTCTACTCCTAGGTATGTGTACTGGGGGGGGGGTGTACTCATGGTCGTGCATGCCGTAGTCGCTAGACCATTGACCTCGCGTCCCTACAACGCCGGGACGGAGGAGCGATCGATATGCCGGGTTGGGGTTTTCGCCGGTCCAAGCTACGTTTCACAAGGGTCAACCAGAAGCTGGTCATCGTCCTTGCTTTTGTTTTGCCAACTAGATATGCCATGGGTTTGGTCGGGCATCCAGGGGGGAAGAGTGGACGTACTCTAATGTTTTACATGCCATAACGATTTAGACCGTTGACCAGGCGTCCTCGAGAGGAGTGAGCATTGGGACCGATCACCGATGCCCAATCGTTCTTTCCTACTTTGCCAAGGGTGGCCCAAGAGTGTCTTCCCTGTCCTGTCTGCCCTGTCGATATCTCCTCCGGCGCGAGCGGGGTAAGGGGTAGTGGACATAGCTGTTGCTGTCGAAAGATCTACACAAAAGAAGCCGAAGCAGCAGAAACCGAGACATCTGCAGAGTTTTGATAATAACGCTATCCACAGTCGGTACCGCAACGGAAGCATCGAAGAAAACAAACAGTCAACGGCATCCAACCACCGCAGCTATTTAGACATAGGCGGATGACTAACTTGATTATGAGACGCGAGCGAGGTGCTTACTTTTGTGCGCATGACCGCAAAAGCAGCACCGAGAAGGCACGAATGGGTCAATACAGACAGACCGACACTGAAGGTGCTCTTCGGACACCGTAACCATGCCAACACACAACCTTTCTTACACGTAATTTTATTGCTGTGTTTTCATTTTTTTCTTTTTCAGAAACATTTCCCGGGAGGCGTCGTCGTTCATGGCCGCCTGCTTGTCCACCAAGCCCCCGGAGCGGTACACGGTGGAGCAGCTGATGGGGCACCCTTTCGTCGTTCTGACAAGATCGGCCAGGGTCACGGCGTCATCGCCACCGCAAGCACAACCGTGAGTTGTTCGTGGTGTTGGTTCATGCTGGTGTTCGTTTTTGCTGGGTTTTTTTTTGTGGTCCATGTTGTACCTCGTCGCCATGCGTTGTTGGTTTGGCCAAGCAGTCGTTTAATCACAAGGCCGGCGCAGCGGGCGGAGAGGGAGGGCGATCACGAACAAGTTATCTGCACGGTTATGATGTAGAGTCTCCATCCTTACATATGCATGCATACATGGATGCGAATAGCCTCTCTCTTGTTGGTGTACTGGTATCGTACGGGGTTGCTTCGCCAGTGACGCGTGAGTGGCGCCGGTTTTGGGGGGCTGGACGCGTGGTGCATATTTCCTTGGTGGACAACCATGAAAGCGCTGGCATTTTTGTTGACGGTAGATACGGTTCGCAACAGCAGCGACGAGTTTATGGAACGGCATCGTGCGGATCGGCAGCGCGATGGCGACGTGCGACTCAACGTATGCGGAGATACTTTGTCGTCGAGACTATCAATAGCCGTGCTGAGACTGACGTATTTTCATTGGTCAACAGGTCAACAGGTTAGCGCGGTACAATACTAAGAATAGAGAGACCCCCCACCCCCCCCCCCCACACCCTTAAGCAGACCGTCGTCCCCGAACCCGTACGACGACGACCGCCTCGACCACCACCCACGAGCCGACGACGCTGATAGGGGCGCCGGTGTCGGCGGCGCGGGGGATCGGCGCCACCGGCGGCTCTACAGCAACATCAACAAGACCGGCACCAGCATTGACGGCGGCGGTAGCGCCGCCTTCAGCGGCACGGGCAGCTACGACCACCCCCACCGCCACCGTCGCCACCGCCAAGAGAAAGCTTCTACCGCCGGCGCCGAGGGGAGGAGGCCGCCGTGCCGCTCTCGCGAGACCGCTAGCAGCGGCAAGCGGGGGGCTTGGTCTCGAGAAACCGGTCCAAGCTGCGGCGGTAGCGGTAGCAGCGGCCAGGGCGAGGAAGGCCAAGGTGGGCGGTGGCAGCAGCAGCAGCAGCAGCAGCAACAGCAGGTGACGAGGTGGTCGGACGGCAGCAACGACAGGGCGCCGCTGCCGCCGCCGCCGACTAGCGGCAGCGGGAGGTCTTCTCCGAGAGCTGCTGCCCTGGCGGCGTGCCAGCCCGACAGCAGCGGTCACTACGGGGCTCGGCATATCCACCACCACCACCATCACTACCACCACCATCAGCAGCAGGGGCAGCGGCGGCAGCAGCAGCAGCAGCAGCAGCAGTGGGGGGTGGCTCAAGAGGAACCGGCTGCCAGCCTGTACAGTATGATTGAGGCCGGCAGCACAATGCATGGCACCGACTGCGGCAGCAGCAACGCGGAGATGTGGCCCCACGCCCGCGACGGCAGCGCGGACGACGCAAGTGGTCAGGCCGGACAAGAGGACGAGGGGCGGCAGCTGCTCCAGCAACAGCTCCTGCGTCGGTACCAGCGCCAGCAAGGCTCTCACTCGACTTCCGGTAAGTTGGAAGACGTTTCGTTCCTCGATGCAGGGACGTCAGGTGTGGCCGAGGAATGGAAGTTCACTTTTTACTCCCCCCCCCTGAAGGCGGAAAGTGATACCGATAGGATAGATAGGATAGGGACAATATTTTAGAGCTTGGCAGAGTAGGAAGGAAGGATTGGCCATCGGTGATCGGTCCTGTGGGAACCGTGCTCCCTCCTCTCGAGGACGCAAGGTCAATTGTCTATCCGCTCAGACATGCCAAAACGTGAGTACGTCCCTCCTACTCACCCCCCACCCTCAAACCCTCCCCTTTCCCGAGAGACCAAAAACACAGCAACAGGCGCGCCACGGCAGTAGAGTCATGTGCGTGTCATCCTCCGGCTGCGTATCCTGCTGCATTCTCAGCCGCCCCCCCCCCCCCCCCCCCCCCCCCCCCCCCCCCCCCCCCCCCNCGCACGCTTGCGCTGTCGCCGGCACTACTTACCACCAGCACCGGTGCCTCTGGTCACCAAGCCCGACAAGAACGGGTGCGGGAGCCACGCCGGCACCGCCGACCGCGCCTTCATGACCTCCCCGGTCATGAACCTCCGCCCGAAACACCGAAACCCTCCTTCCCCTGGCGGTGGCTTTGACAGCGGCGGCGGGGTTGACGTCACCGCCGCCGCGCCCAGCCACGGCGGGGGGCGGGACTTCAACGATGACGGCGGCGGCGGCGGCGCAAGAGGGCTGTTGCCTGACTGCTCCAAGAACTCGGGTTTGCGGCGGGTAAGCACAATTGTTTTCCAACGGCGGGTGGGGAGGGTTTCGCCCTTTCTTGGCTGTGGACGTATCTTCGGCCGCGCTTATCTTAATCTGGTCGGTGCGGCACCGAGGTACCCTCATCCAGCCCAGACAGTTCGCGCCCCAGGAGAAGGCGGTAGTTGTCCTGGGGCATACGAAGCGGACGGAAAAGGCGGGAAGTGATATCGATAGGATAGATAGGGACGGGAAGACATTTTCGGAGCTACCTTTGGCAAGCCAGGAAGGAACGATTAGCCATCGGGCATCGGTCCTAATGCTCCGTCCTCTCGAGGACGCGTGGCCAATGACCTCGCCCCTAAGGCATGCAAAATAGGAGTACCCCCCCCCCCCCCCCC